TGCACACACGCACACAGGCAAACACGTGCACAGACGCGCACACAGGCAAACATGCACACAGGCAAACATACGTGCACACGCACACACAGGCAAACATGCACACTGGCAAACACGTGCACACACGCACACAGGCAAACACACGTGCACACAGGCAAACATGCACACAGGCAAACACACGTGCACACGCGCACACAGGCAAACATGCACACCAGCAAACACATGTGCACACGCACACACAGGCAAACATGCACACCGGCAAACACACGTGCACACGCGCACACAGGCAAACATGCACACAAACGTGCACACACACACAGCAAACATGCACACGGCAAACACACGTGCACACAGCACACAAACAGCCACACCACGTGCACACTGCACACAAACATGCACACAGGCAAACACGTGCACCGCACACAGGCAAACAGCACACAGGCAAACCACACGCACACACAGGCAAACAGCACACGGCAAACATGCACACCGCACACAGGCAAACACACGTGCACACAGGCAAACATGCACACAGGCAAACACACGTGCACACGCGCACACAGGCAAACATGCACACAAACGTGCACACACACACAGGCAAACATGCACACAGACACACGTGCACATGCGCACACAAACATGCACACAGGCAAACACGCACACAGGTAAACACACGTGCACACAGGCAAACACGTGCACACGCGCACACAAGCAAACATGCACACCGGCAAACACACGCACACACAGGCAAACATGCACACCGGCAAACACACATGCACACAGGCAAACGCACACAGGCAAACATGCACACCGGCAAACACACGTGCACACAGGCAAATGCACACAGGCAAACGCGCACACGCACACAAACACACACACGTAGGCTGCACACAGCCTGTGCACTACGCCTGTGTGGCTCACAGACACCGATGGTATGGGTGGAGCTGGTAGCCTCGGGCATCGCCCTCTGGGCAGCATCTGACCCTCCAGCTGGGTCTTCCATTCCTGCCCCCAGTGCCCCTGTGAGAGCTGCTCTCTCCCCACCGCCCACCCCCCAGAGTCCTGGCTCCACGTGGCCTGGAACCCAGAGAAGCCCTTCCTGCCCCTGCAGCCCTGACCAGGCACCCCTGCCACTGGGGGCGCGGCCCCTCAGATGCGGGGCCCCCTCCTCCATCACAGAATTTCACCCTGACCTCTCAAGACGCGGCTGGCACAGACCTCATGTTCATCCTGCCTGTGGACACTGGATGGCATCTGGGGCCCAGAAAGGTGCGGTGAGCTGCCTCAGGCCACACAGCTCCGTGGGTAGGGAGGAAGCGGTCAGGGTGGGGACCCCAGGCCCTTCGTCCCCTCCAGACACTCACCTCTGTTGGGGCCGCCTTCTTCTGAGCCAAACCTGCAGAAGAGACAAACCGGTATCAGACAGGAAACTGGGGACCCCCCAGGAGCCCTGGGCCCAGCCCCCGGCCCACTTCCTGGCCCCCCAGGCCTGGCGTGTGTAACTCCGCATGGGGCCTGTCTCAAGGCTACACACATGTGAAGACATGGACTGAGTGTGCTGGGAGGATGTGATGAGGGTGGGGGCCACTGAGACCTGCCATGGTCACCCTGGTTGGCGGTCACTGGGGCCTAGAGCAGGGCAGAGGCTTTGTAGCTTCAGGGAGGTGGGCAGCCAGTGACGCCCAGGCTTGGCACCCACCATGAAGGGCCTGGGGCTTGGACCTGCCTGGAGGAGGGGAGGGGAAGTGGGGAGCAAACTTCCCCCGGCTCTTGACCCCCTTCATGCCCAGACATCAGGTTCTGGGCAGTCACCGGCCGAGCAGGTCTGAACTGACCAAGCCCCGCTTCCCCAGAGGCAGGTGCCAGGAGAGGCTCGGGCATGGGGAAATCAGGTGCCAGCGTGGGGAGTGAGGGGTGCAGGCCCCTGCTGGGGCGAGGGCAGGCTGGAGTTGTGGGGAGTGCCCAGCAGCACCCAAGCAACTGCAGTCAGTGGGAGTTGGCCAGGGGTCCCCAGGGCGGCGCCCTCCCCATCCCTCTCCAGGGTGAGGTTTGTGGAACAATAAGGGAGCCTGCGAGGAGACCCCCAGCCCTGCCCTGGGTCCTGGGCCCACAGCCTCCAGTCAGCGCCTGCAGCAGGGCCTGGGCCGCAGCTCCAGAGAGGACGAGAGACGAGAGGGGCCTGCTGGGTTCAGCTCCAGAGAGGACGACAGGGGCCTGCTGGGTTGAGCCAAAGCTCCCTCCACACGAGGAGGCTGGGACGAGGGGAACCGGCGAGACTCGGCTCCTAGGACCCAGGACCACATTCGCAACCCTGGCTCCCAGCAGCGGGGCCCTGGGGTCCTCATCTGGAGAATGGGAACAGACTCGACAGCTGTGATTACGGGCCCTGAGACCGACGGGAGATGATCCTGGGGGACTTGGGAGTCCGATGTCCTCACAGGGTCCTCACGAGAGGAGGTGGGCGGGTGAGTCAGAGAGAGAGGGGAAGAGGCTGTGCCGTGGCTGTGAGGGGGGAGGAAGGAACCTGAGCCGACAGGTGTGGGCGCCTCTAGACGCTGGGAAAGGCAGGAAACGGATTCTCCTCTGCAGCCTCTGGTGGGCCCAGCCCTGCCCACAGCTTGACTCTAGCCCGGTGAGGCCCTGTTCTGGGGCCGGACTCCTGGCCCGGGAGCCCTGAGGTGGGAAGTGGTGTCGGTGACTGCAGGGAGCGCACGCACTGGCATCCACCATGCGGGCCCTGGGCAGACCTGGCCTCGCCCTCAAGGGGCTCACGGTCCACAGGGGTGGGCGCAGGGCTAGGTGTTTGATGTGGGGTGACAGGTGGGGTGCGGATCAGCAAGGGAGGCTTCCCTGGGCTGGTCGTGTCTGAGCTCAGTGCCGAACAAGGATGCCGGGGGAGCGGGAGGGATCCAGGCGGAGGGAGCCGCGGCGCAAAGGTCACACGGTGGCTGAGGCGGCCGCGCTGCTGCACGGATCACAGCAGCGTTCTCCAGGCTCACACAGAGGCGGCTGCCGAAGGGGAGCGCCTCCCTGTTGGATTCCAACGCTGGCACCACCCGGGGCCCAGGGCATGGAGACAAATGTGTCTTGAATCACACAGGGGCTGTGGGGCAGGGCCGACTCCGCCCCAGCACTGCCTGTACCTTCTCACTCCCTTCCCCAGTCCTAGAGGAACAGGCTGAGGGTCGGGGAAGGGAGGGCTGGCCAAGGTCCTGCAGCCGGGGGTGCTGAGGCAGGCCCTCAAAGGGGATTATTATGAGCCCGTGGAGACGCTCGGGCTGCGCCTGGATGCGAGCAGGAGGGTGTGGCATGTGCCCTGCTCCGTGGGGCTCGGCCCTCTGGCTGCCTTGCTGCTCTGGGCTGGGCAGCAGTGCATTGGAACTGGTCTGGCCCTGGCTTCCAGGCCGGCTGAGGTGAGCAGGGGAGGCCAGGACACGTGAGGGGCCAACTGGGCGAGGTTCAGGGAGGTGCAGACAGGTAAGGAGGTGGCTGTGGAGTCCGGAGTGCAGACGGGGACCGTCGGGGGTGGGGACCCGGCTGGGGGGGGACCGGGGAGAGGGGACGGAGGAGAATTTCCCGAGACAAGAAGTTTTTCTGGACCAGGGCCTCACAAAGCCAGCAGAGCGCGGAGGGAGGGAGCCCCTCTGTTCTAAGACGCGGAAAGAGACTATCAGAGGGAGGGGTGAACCCACCCAAGGTCACGCCGAAGGAGAGTCAAACCCGGGCCTGGGTCATCGACGCCCCGCCCTGTCAGCCCTGCCAGTGCCCCTCAGCCCCCTGCGCTGCTCTCAGTGGGTGCACGGGAGACCCACATGTGTCCCATCTAGAGGCCGCGCCCGGCGACCGCCCTGCCATCTGAAAATACGTCCACCGCAGGCGCTGAAGGCACTGAAGGCACGGCTTTGCTCTGCTGCCAGGTCAGAACCGCCAGGGACCCAGCGAAAGCACGAGGTGGAAAACTTTGCTGGGGTCAGGAGCCTCGGAGCAAGGGGCATGCCGGGGAAGGGGCCGGGGTCAGGAGCCCGGGGCAGCGGCAGGCCGGGGAAGGGGCCGGGGTCAGGAGCCCGGGGCAGCGGCAGGCCGGGGAAGGGGCCGGGGTCAGGAGGCTTAGGGCAGGCCGGGGAAGGGGCCGGGGTCAGGAGCCCGGGGCAGCGGCAGGCCGGGGAAGGGGCCGGGGTCAGGAGGCTTAGGGCAGGCCGGGGAAGGGGCCGGGGTCAGGAGGCTTAGGGCAGGCCGGGGAAGGGGCCGGGGTCAGGAGGCTTAGGGCAGGCCGGGGAAGGGGCCGGGGTCAGGAGGCTTAGGGCAGGCCGGGGAGGGGGCCGCATCCGAGACGCTGGTGGAGCCCTGTTGTCGTGATCAGTCCCCATGCCTGCCTGGGGGTGCGGGGTTGGACAGTGTCCCCCCGACGTTCACGTCCTTCCAAGAACCTCAGCCTGCAACCTTATTTGGAAAGACAGTCTCTGCTGATGTCACTGGGTAAGATGAGGTCGTGCCGGAGTAGGGTGGGCCCTGGATCTGCTGCTGTCCTTATAAGAGAAGCCGCTCGGAGAGGCCAAGATGCCATGTGGGGTGGAGGCGGGGAGGGCACAGCTCCTGCAGGCCGAGACGCCAAGGATGCCCGGAGGCACGCGGAGCAGAGGGGCGTGAAGCTTCTCCACGGTGGGTCGGGAGGGTGCAGCCCTGCCCACTCCTGGACCTCGGGCTTCTGGCCTCCAGAGCAGAGCCAGAACAAATGCCTGTTCCAGGCTTGCTGCTCCAAGCCCCCCAGTCCCAGGGACTTTGTCTGGGCAGCTGAGGACCTCACACAGGGCGTGGCCCTCCAGTGCGGACCCCGGCCCTGCACGGGAGGGGCATACTTCTCGAGGCAGCCAGAACAGCGGAAGGGTCCTCCCCTCGGGCCACCTGGGCGCCCTGCGGGGCTGGGTGGGCACCTGGAAGGGCCATGGAAGGAACTGGGGGACGGACCGCGGTGCTCACTGCAGGGGCGGGGGCGGGGACGGAGGGAGGGAGGTGACTCAGGATTCCGCTGCCTGCCCTGGTGCAGGGAAGGACGGGGCTGCTTCTCCGTCCTTCCAGAGGACAGGGCTGGTCGCCCCAGGTCTCTGACAGGCCACACAGGGCCTGCTCTGGGCTGCAGGGGGCGGAAGGTGCTGGATGCTGACGTGATGTTTGGGTTGGCGCCCTGGAGCAGAACAATTCACGGTTTTACGTCCAGGGTGTGGGGGAAGGAAAAGAAGAGAGGGCAGGAAGCCAGTGGTGGGCCGGGGCGGGACATTCCAGACCTCATCGGGGGCCTGGGCGTCCCCCTGCTCGGCCTGTCTGGGGCCTCCCTGCCCACAGTCCTGACTCTACTCCTGAAACCGCCCCTCTGGGGCTCCCCCACACCCACTTGGGTGACTCAGCTGTTTTCCTCAGTGGCCCCCAGGCTGAGAGGTCACAGCCCTCGGGTCCACCCCTGCCCGGACTCTCCCAGGCTCCCTACTGCCCAGGGACCGAGTGGACACGGTGAGGCCCTCCAGACCCGGCACTGCTGACCTCACCAGGCACCTCAGGGTCACCTGCATTGGGTCTAGGCCCCTTGCCTCAGTTTCCCTTCCTGGTTCCACATCTTCACCTGCCCAACTCGCCTGAGCTATCTGACAAGGGGGAGAGGAGAAGGGCGGCCAGCTCGGGCCCTGCTGGGAACGGCCCTGCACTGGGGGCCTGTAGGTTAAGGGACTGGCCAGGGCCGAAGCACCAAGGCGGGGGTGGAGCAGGACGGGGAGGGGATGCACTCGGTTGGGGGACCCCAGGGAAAATGTGGGGCTCCCAGGGCAGGCAGGCAGGGACAGCAAGGGGAGACCAGAGCCGAGTGTCCTGTGGAGGAGAGGGGACAGGGGAGGAAGCAGAGCCTTGCAACCACCGCCCAGCCGAGTGGGCAGGTAAGCGCCATTTTCACTCAATCCTTGCTCCCCACGAGGCCCACTCCGGCACGGAGCCTGCCGTGACCCCCATGAGGGGCTGTCATGACATCGAGCTCTGCTCAGCCTGAGACGTGACTAATTATCTGCAGAATGAGCCACCCCGTTTTCGAGGAAATTAGGTTTTAAAAATAGTCGGGGGAGGAGAGGCGTGCCGCGCCGCAGAGCCGGGAGGTGGCCCCTCTGAGCAGTTTCCTCTGGCCAGACTGAGTGCCCGAGGCGGGGGCTCTGCCGCTGGGGCCCCTCTCTCCTGGCCCCATCACAGGACCTGGCGGCAACGCGACCCGGGCCTGCGGCACACGGCTCTGATTGCTGGCTGCACGGTGACCTCATCGGCCACCCCACCTCCCTGTGTGCCCGGGGCTTCTCTCCCAGCCTCAGTCTCTGCCTGTAAAGTGTGGCCGAAGCCAGCTCGAGCCCTCGAGGCACTGCCGTTCTCCACGGGGACACATGGCCACCTCTGCACCCGCTGTTCCCTGGCCTGTGCCCGGTCTCTGCCCTGGCCCTGCCGTGACCCCTGGACGCCGTGTCCCACACCAGCCACCTTTGCACCCCACCGACGCCCCCCCATCCTGCAGACCAGCCTGGTCTCTCCTGGTGACCCCGGGGACTCCCTCAGGACGGGGCCTGCCCTGGGCTGACAGCCTGGGCGTTTGTTGACTGACTCATGGACTGACAGATACCCGTTCCTCTTCTCTCTGCACACAGGCCTCTGCCAGAGCTTCCTCTCCACATCTGTCCGCGTGGACACTGAGGCCGCGAATGACTAAACTGCGGGAGGAGGCGGACTGTCAGGCTGGCTCCACAGTAAGACCCAGAGTAAGAATGGGGACGGAGAGACCTGGACAGGTGGCCGGAGGGAGGGAGGCATTGCAGGAGAGGAAACAGGGCGCAAGCTAGGCTCACTGACAGAGCGCCGCAGGGCAGAAGGCCCAGTGAGGGCAAGCTCGAGGGTGGGTGGAAGGCACCTCGACCCACGTGGGCACCTGCAGGGCCCCGCGACAGCAGGCGGGACAGGCACAGTGGTGGCCTCATCCCTGCATGACCGAAGTCCAGGCCCCCGTGGCTGTGAGGAGGAAGCCCCAGCCCTGGAGGCAGTGGGGGTTGGGGGAGAGTGGGCAGCGCCCTGGAAGGTCCAGGATGAGGGAAGCCGGGGACTGGGGGGCCAGGGAGAGCTCAGGGCAGGGGAGGGGTTCTGGGAAAGGGGGCCCACCCACCCCGTCCCCACCACAGACAAGGGTCTCCCCAGGCCCCACTACAGCCCTGCAGGGTAAAGACCAGGCCCTGTTACCCCACCAGACCGTGCGTGGCCCCCTCCCTGCCCTCCGCTCCTCCCTCTGCTCCAGCCACACGGGCCCTTGCCATCCCTCCAGCACGCCAGCACCAGCGCCACCCTGCGTCACAGCCTCTGCATGAGCGGGGCCTCTGCCTGGCCTGCTGGTCCCAAGATTCCCTCAGGGTTTGTTCCTTTGCTTTACCCCAGACCTGGCTTAAACATCACCCCCTCAGAGGCCTCCCCCAGCCACCCTGTGCCAAAGAGTCCCCTCCTCACTGCCCAGCACATGGCACCACCTGGCATATGGCTGTTGTCATCCCCACAACAGGGGGCCCAGGCCTGCTCTGTCACCTGCCCCCCCCAGATTCTGGCAAAGCTCTCTGAGGGCAGCAAGGGAGGGCCAGTGGGAAAGTGGCGGCACTGGGACCCAAGTGTGTCAGAGTAGCACAGGGGGCCTGCACCCCTGGGTGGGGCCGCTGCCCAGAGGGTAGCTGCTGGGCGCCCAGCACAGGTGCGGGCTCACCATGACACTGCAACCCGAGTGCATGAGGACGGCCCAGGCATGGGGTCCTGCGATCCTGCAAGCAGGAAGTAACCCCGGGCCAGAGCTCATGGTCACCTCCCTCATTCGCTGGACAACCCATCCTCTGGCCTCCCGCCGTGAAGGCCTCTGACCACAGGGACCACAGGCCCTTTTGAGGACCTGCCAGGAAGGCCAGGCTGGGCAGCGGCACTCCACGACACAGGCTGGGTTGGGGACCCAGAGGGGGCGGGGCCAACCCTCAGCTCTGGTGAGGCTCAGCCCAGGACCCAGTGGACAAGGGCAGGCCATGCGAGAATCTTCTCTCGCTAAACTGCAGAAAGGGCTTCTGTGGCTGTCCACAGATGGCTGCGATGCTTGGCAGTGGTGTGACTTGGGAGCAAAGGGACAGCATGGGTGTGAGGAAGGCTGGCACTTCTCACTGCGTCTCTGGGAACCTGGGCCATGACGCTCAGAGGCCGGCTCCCTGCAGAAAGGCCGGGCGGCCCCAGCTGTTCCTGCCATCCCAGTTGAGGGCTGGACAGGCAAGTGCAGGACAAGCTTGAATTTCCTGCCACTGCCGACCACAGCCACGGGACTAACCCCAGCTATGACCTACAGAAGAACCACCCAGCTGAACCCAACCCAAACAACAGAATCGCAAGCAAATACATCGTTGTCTGAAGCCTCTATCTGGCGGTGGTTTGTTACACGGCAATAGCTGACTGAAACAGATCTCAGCTCACTGTAACCTCTGCCTCTTGGGTTCAAGCAATTCTCTTGCCTCAGCCTCCCCCGAGTAGCTGGGACTATAGGCACGCACCACCACGCCCAGCTTTTTTGTATTTTTAGTAGAGACAGGGTTACACCATATTGGCCAGGACGGTCTCGATCTCTTGACCTCGTAATCTGCCCGCCTCGGCCTCCCAACATGCTGCAATGACAGACATGAGCCACCGCACCCGGCCTATCTGTGGACTTCTTTGGAACAGGAGGAGTTACAGTTTTTAATTCCTTTGTCTTACTTGGATTTCTTACATTCAAAGGAGCATTAATAATCTGTATCATGGATTATTCAGCCATGAAAAGGAATGAGGCTTTGAAGCAGGCCACGGCACGGATGCACCTTGAAGACGTCATGCTCAGCGAGAGACACCAGACACAAGAGGCCATGCAGTGTGTGACCCCATTTCTACGAAATGCCCAGGACAGGCTGATCCAGAGAGACAGGGAGGGGATGCGTGGGTGCTGGGGCTGGGGAGGGATGGGGAGTGACAGCCACTGGGCACGGGGTTTGCTTTCGGGGTGATAGAAATGTACTAGAATTAGTGGCAGCAACTGAACAACTCTGGGAATACACCGAAAAGAATTTACTCAGTTGCAATAAGTAAGCAGTAAGACGCTTTCAAAGGGTGAATTTTGTGGCAGTGAATTATGTCCCAGAAAAGCAAAATGAAGATGCAGATCCCGTTAGTTGCAAAAGTATTGCCCAGTGACACACACCATCTGGAACCTTCTCCAAACTCTTGTCATCCCCCAGGGCCTCACAGTTTGCTTGTCTCTAAAGGAGGTCGGGGGACTTGGTCAAGGCTTAACCAGAAGGGCAGCCAGTCCTGCAGGCTGGAGCTTCTCACACTGTCTGTGCCTGCAGGACTGAGTTCACTCTTTCTTTTCTCTCCATCATGGACCAAGGCTTTTGTAAATCGTAGTAAACACCAACTGCCAAGGTCTGGAAGGCTGGTGCCGATTCTCGGCTTCTACTCCTCTCTGGTGTGGACTGGGGTGGACAGTCCTGTCCACGGTGACACCAAACGGCCCTGCTTCAGGCCTCTTCTCTCTTGATAGGAGTGTACCAACATGCAAACAGTTTGGGGGCCTCCAGGCACCCCCCAAAGCCCATGCAAACCAGGGTCTCCTCCCTCAGCACTTAGGGCTGGACTGTTCTCTGGGCTGGTCACTGGGGTTGTCCTGGGCACTGCAGAGTGCTGAGCAGCGTCCCTGGCCTCTACTCACTCCATGCCAAGGGCATCCCCCAGCTGTAACAACCACAGATGTCTCCAGCCAAGGCCCAGTGTCCCCAGGGGGCAGAACGACCCCAGGTGACGCCCCAATGTGCTGGCCCCTGAGGTTAAACCCTTGGGTGACAAGTTCAACACGGCTGCAACAGCAAATATCTGCTCCAGGTGCCAACCAAGCTCTCCTCACGCAGAGTCCCACCCGGCCTGACCAGGCAGCCACTCCTCAAGGCTTCATCTGACACATGGGGAAACTGAGGCTGGGAGAGGTGGAAGGATTCCGAAAACGTTGGGGAGAAACCACATGGCCAGGCTTCCTGCGCGATCGTCTCTAACCTCATACAGGCCTGGCGTGGTAGGCAATGGCGTCCCTGTTTGGGGACAGGAAGCACCCGACTGACGGTCCCCACCGGGAAGTGACGAGAGACGTGAACTCAGGTACCTGCCTGGCCCTGCAGCCCCAAGACAGGTGAGTCGCCGTAAACTGTCACCCGGTACATCCGCGGTCCCGGGCACCCACCGTTCCCAGCACACCTCGGGGAGTGGCCCGCCTGGGCACCAGCACACCTCGGGGAGTGGCCCGCCTGAGCTTGGTTCTAAGCCCTGTGGTGTTTGGGTTCGGTCAACCTTAGAAATCACAATGTTTTGGAGAAAAACCTGGGTTTCTCCAAAAACAGGCCGATCTAAAAATAAAAGGCTGCACCATCACTCAGTCCCGCCCAGCACGCTCGCCTCTGCCTTCGTCCCCCACGGCCCGCTCCCCGGCGGTGTGTGGCCAGAAGGTGCCTATGGACATCTGATCCAGCTGCCACCTAATTCATGATCACTGTTTGACAGGCCGGGAAATGGGTATTTGGGGACATCTACTAAGTTACCCAAAGCCAACGGTGAAAAACTCTGTGATCCCATCTATGAATCCAGAAAAACCTTCAACGAAATTCAGTATGAATTTCATGTCCCCCCAAAACACTACCAACAAAGAAAAAAAGGAGAGAAAAGGAGACTGCTTCTACTTTAAAAAGAAATGTAAGACCAGGCGACGTGGCTCTAGCACTTTGGGAGGCCGAGGCAGGAGGATGGCTTGAGCCCAGAAGTTTGAAACCAGCCTGGGCAACATAGTGAGCCCCCCCATCTCTACAAAAAAAAATTTAAATATTAGCCAGGAGTGGTGGTGCACGCCTGTGTTTCTAGCTACTTGGGAGGCTGAGGCAGGAGGATCACTTGAACCCAGAAGTTTGAGGCTGCAGTGAGCTATGACTGCACGACTCTCTCTCCCACCCAACCTTGTTCAGGTCTGGATCAAATGTCACCTCCTCAGGGAGGTCCCTCCCTGGTCACCCTGTCCCCGCTTGGTTTACTTCTCTCTACTCCTTGGATCCTCTGAGGCCATGAGCCCAGGGCAGCGACCTCATCTTTCCTCCCGCAACAGTGCAGGGAGCACGAGCATGGCACGTGGGTAAGGCTGCCTGTGACAGCGTTCTCCTCCCGGGAGTCCCACGGAGGTCTGGGTCCAGGGCACAGCGGGCTTGGCTCAGGAGGGAAACGGGGTTGGATGGAGTCAAGAGCCTGGAGGCACAGGCTGCTTCCCGTCTCTAACCCCTGAGCCGCCCTGGAATAGCTGGAGCGTGGCGAGGAGCTGGCCAGAGGCCCGCTAGCCCACCTTTGCCATGTGTGCGGCAGGGCCCGCACCATGAGAACCCCATGGCTTAGTCATGCAATCGTCCCAACAACCCCGTGATGTAGGCACTGTTACTGCTCCCATTATGCAGAGGCAGAAACTGAGGCTCAGAGAGATCAGATCACTTGCCTGAGATCATGCAGCAAAAACGTGGGGGTGGACGCACCTGATTCCAGGAGGTCAGGCCCCAGGCTGCGTCACCACAGCAGGGATGGGAGGAGAGTGAGGAGGAGCCGGGCGGGGGAAGGGCGGAGGGGCCTCCCAGGCAGAGGCACAGCCAGTGCAAAGGCCCCGGGGCAGAATCGTGTCTGGAGAGTTGGGATCTGTCCGGGCACAACCGGAGAGTCCTGAGCGGAGCACAGCCAGCCCCCACTTCCCCTCCTGGGCAGTCCCACGCCTCCCCCACGTTGGAGCCCCTGGCACCCTGGCCAGTGATGACTCTGCAGCAGGCCCGGCCCCCAGCACAGGAGAGGCAGAGCAGACGCTTCGGTGCCTGGAGCACCGCCCACAGCCTCCTGGCTGGGAAATGGCCTCTGTGTCACCCACTGGACCTCACGATGCTTCAAAATAAAGACAGACCGATAAGAAGAGCCTCCCGCTCACAGTGCGGCGGTGGTAACCACACCAGTCATGCATGAGCACTTTTTTGCCTTATAATTAGAGGCATCAAACAAGATGAGCTCATTGCCACCCCCTCACCCCCCACACATCAGCCAGCGCACGATCTCACAGCACTCACTGCACAGATGGGGACACCTGCTGCCTGCCAGGATCCCTTTGGTCCCAGGGGCGGGGCCGACCTCCCTCCCCTTGAAAGTGGGCAGGTCTCAAGCCCTGCTTTTGGCCAATCACATGATGCAGAAGTGACACGGGGCGGGGGGGGCGGTGAGTTCTCCCATCAGCCTCTGCTCTCTTGGGATCCCTCCAGTACGATGCTGGGGCCAGGCTGGACAGCAGCAGTGATGCAGAGAGAGGCCTGGGAGAGGAGGCCACCGGGGTGTGCCGGCACCAGCCAGATGCCGCTGCCTAGGTGATCCAGGCCAACAGCAGTGATGGGGAAGAACCAACCTGCTGAGCCCAGCCAAGCCCGAGAAACCGACAGCAAAAGCACTGTGGTGTGAATCCTCTCAGTGTGGCAGTGGTCTGTTGCATAATCCATGACTTCCACCACAGACACACCCAGAGTGGGACCACCACCTGCTCAAGGTCACCCGGCACGTAGGGCCCAGGCAGCAAAGTTCCGGGCGGCTGTCTCCCTCTGAGCACCAGGATCTGGTTCCCTGTGACCCACCAGGAGAACTCAAGCTCTTAGTGCTACGCGGCTTCCACCACTGCAGACACGTCATTCAGCAGTCAGGGCCAGACACGTGAATCTTAGAAGGTTCCGAGTTATTTCTGGGTGTTGGATGGGGGAAGGTCTCTTACTTTGCAACTTGCATCCTTTGGTGCTGTTTGAAATACATATTTTGTCATTTTTATTTATAGAAATGAGGCTTTTCTCAAAGCATTAACACAGTCAACTTGTAAAACAGGCAAAGGAGAAGAAAACAAACAGTGTGAACATCTGAGAAAGACGCCCAGACCCCTCTCATGATAAAAGACGTGATATGAAACTGGCTGCCAGCAATCGGGGGGAGACGCAGGGTGTCCTCACACAGCCGGGGTGACGCCAGTGTCAATGGGTTCACCCCCAGGGGCAGCCTGGCAGCATTTCTAATGTGTGTGCCGTTGGCAGCAACTTCAATTCTAGAACTTTCTCCTAAACTTCAGCACAGGTAAAAAGACAGGAGTCTCGCTGATTATGTTGAAGTCATAGGGTCCTACAGAGACTGTCTAAAGCAGGGGCTGGCAAACCACAGTCCAGGGGCCAAATGCAGCCCACTAAAGAAAGTTTTCTTGGAACACAGCCACAACCATTTCTTCACAAATTGTCTGGCTCCTTAAGTGCTAAAACCGCAGCGTGGAGGAGTCGTGACAGAGACCACCTGGACCACAAACCCTAAAATGCTCATCTAGATTTTTTTTGTAGAGACGGGGTCTTGCACTGTCACCCAGGCTGGAGCACAGTGGTGCCATCATACCTCTGCAGCCTCCAACTCCTGGGCTCAAGTGATTGTCCTGCCTCAGCCTCCTGAGTAGCTGGGACTACAGGCGCCACCACGTCTGGCTAATTCTTTTCTTTTTCAGAGAAAAAGGAGGTCTCGCGTCGTTGCCGAGGCTGGCCTCAAACTCCTGGGCTCAAGGGATCCTCCTACCCTGGCCTCCCGAAGCAGGCGTGAGCCACCGTACTTAAGAGTAAAAGCTAAAAAATTTACTCCTCAGCCCTTTACAGCAAGTTTCCTAGCCAGGCAGTGACTCACACCTGTAATCCCAGCACTCTGGGAGGCTGATCCTCCTAAAGGGCGAATCACCTAAGGTCAGCAGTTCGACAGCAGCCTGGCCAACATGGTAAAACCCTGTCTCTACCAAAAATACAAAAATTAGCCAGGCGTGGTGGTGCACACCTGTAATCCCAGCTACTCTGAAAGCTGAGGCAGAAGACTGGCTTGAACCTGGGAGGCACAGGTTGCAGTGGGCTGAGATCACGCCACTGACCTCCAGCCTGGGCGACACAGCAAGACTCTGTCTCGAGAAAAATAAATAAAATAAAGACAGATCAAGTGAACTTCATCAAGACTTTTGTGCCTCACAGGACACCAGCAAGAAACTGGACCTGTAGAATGCTAGAAAGATTTGAATCATCTATGTGGTGAGGGCCCCACATCTAAAAGACACGAACTCACAAGTCACTAATAAGAACCAGGCCAGGCAGTGTCACACCTGTCATCTCAACTCATCTCAACGCTTCGGGAGGCCAAACAGGGAGGATGGCTTGAGTCCAGGAGTTTGAGACCAGCCTGGGCAACAGAGCAAGACCATGTCTCTACAAAAACACAAAAATTAGCTGGGGGTGGTGGCGGCACCTATAGTTCCGGCTACTTGGGAGGCTAAGGTGGGAGGATCGCACCACTGCACTCCAGCCTGGGCAACAGAGTGAGAGCCTGTCTCAGAAAACAAGAAGCACAGACAACAAGAAGAGCTGGTGAAGATGTGGAAAAATGAGGAGCCCTGTCTGCCGCGGCGGGAATGTAAGACGCTGCAGCCACCGTGGGAAACAGTCTGACAGTTCCTCAAACCGTCCCACACCAGGTTTCTGCGGCCCCGCAATCCCACCCTTGGACATCAACTCAAGAGAAGTGAAAACCTCCGTCCACACAAAAACTATGCAAATGTTCGCAGCGGCACATCCACAACAGCCAAAAGGGGGAAGCAGCCCAGGCGTCCATCGTTGGGTGAATGGGCCAGCACAGCCTGGCCATCCACACGCTGGGGCGGGACTCAGCTGTGAAAAGGACGAGGCTTTGACACAGGCCGCAGCGCAGACGCACCTGGAGGACGTCACGCTCAGCGAGAGGACACAGAAGTGTGATCCCATTTTCCCTTTTTTTTTTTTTTTTTTGAGACGGAGTCTCGCTCTGTCGCCCAGGCTGGAGTGCAGTAGCGTGATCTCGGCTCACTGCAAGCTCCGCCTCCCGGGTTCACGCCATTCTCCTGCCTCAGCCTCCCAAGTACCTGGGACTACAGGCGCCCGCCACCGCACCTGGCTAATTGTTTTTGTATTTTTAGTAGAGACGGGGTTTCACCATGTTAGCCAGGATGGTCTCTATCTCCTGACCTTGTGATCCGTCCGCCTCGGCCTCCCAAAGTGCTGGGATCACAGGCGTGAGCCACCGCACCTGGCCCCATTTTCCCACTTCTATGAAATGCCCAGAAAGTGAGTGAGGTGTTGTCAGGGGTTGGAGGAGGGGTGGCAGCGACAGTTAATGAGCTCTCCATGGACAGCTTTTGGCTGATGAGAATATTCTGGAATAAGAGGGGAGAGCTGTACAACTGTGAACATACTAAAACCTATGAACACATGTACACACTACAAATAGGTAAAACGTAGGGTCTGTGAATTATATCCTAATAAAGTTGCTATTTAAAAAGAATTTAAGGCCGGGCGCGGTGGCTCACACCTGTGATCCCAGCACTTTGGGAGGCCAAGGTGGGCAGATCACGAGGTCAGGAGTTTGAGACCAGCCTGACCAACATGGAGAAACCCAGTCTCTATTAAAAAAAAAAAAATACAAAAATTAGCCAAGTGTGGTGGCACGTGCCTGTAATCCCAGCTACTCAGGAGGCTGAGACAGGAGAATCACTTGAACCTGAGAGGCGGAGGTTGCAATGAGTCGAGATTGTGCCACTGCATTCCAGCCTGGGTGGCAAAGACTCAGTCTCAAA